TTTTTTTTGTTTTTCGTGTTTCGTGGCAGGTGCAGTACTTTGTGGACCTTGCAAAGCACATTTCGTGGCAGGTGCAGGACTTTGTGGGCCTTGGAGTGCAGAGTTTGTGGCAGGCGCAGGACTTTTTGTGGGCCTTGAAGTGCAGATTTCGTGGCAGGTGTAGTACTTTGTGGCCCTTGGAGTGCAGATTTTGTGGCAGGCGCAGGACTTTGTGGACCTTGAAGTGCAGATTTCGTGGCAGATGCAGGACTTTGTGGGTGTGGAAGTGTAGAGTCGAGTTGGTGGCAGGTGCAGGACTTTGTGGGCCTTGGAGTGCAGATTTCGTGGCAGGCGCAAGACTTTGTGGACCTTGAAGTGCAGATTCGTGGCAGGTGCAGTACTTTGTGGATGTTGAACTGCAGAAAGATAGAAAGATAGAAAGATAAATTGATAGATAGATAGATAGATAGAATAGATTAGATTAGGTTAGATTAGATAAGATAAGATAAGATAAGATTAGATAGATAGATAGATAGAGGAGGCATATTTGCTTGGTTAGAAAGTTTTGCACCGGGGAGTTCACCTTAAAATATTGATTTCGTGGCAGGCGCGGGTGTCGGGGATGAAGTGCAGATTTCGTGGCGCGGGTGGGGGTGGGGGGGGGGGGGCCGCCCCCCCCCCAGCAGCACACCAGATCCAAAGGTGAGCAGCTCGTGCTTGCTTGCTTGCTTGCTTGTTTCGTCTCTGCAACGAAAACAACAGGAAAAGCAAATAACAAAAGAGAAAGGAGAACAGCTGCCAAAAGAAAGAATCAAAGAAAGATAAATAGATAGGTATAGACAGATACAGAAGCCACAGAAGCCAAAAACCACAAAAGCCAGAAGCCACAGAAGCCAGAAGCCAGAAGCCACGAAAAACAAAAAAGATTCCAAAAAAGAAACAAAAAAAATTCCAAAAATAAATACCCCTCCCTATATGATTCCGGGAGGCTGGCGGAGAGGAGAACTAGGATTCCCATTCATCTCATAGGATTCCAAAGCGAAGGGACTGGGCAACATGTATCTTGAACAGCAACTTGCCAACGCACGATTTTGTCCAAATCAATCAATATGATATAATATGATCGTCAGAAGATCGATCTATCCTATGCAACCTAACTGTGTTTCTTCTATGGCTGAAATTCCTGCAGCACAATGGAATTCGAGCATCTCTTTCCAACGTGAACAGTGTATAATCAGTGTATACCAGGTTTGAATCTGAACCACTCCTGTTGGACTCCTCTTGCTTTCAAGCACTCTGGAATTCTTCCAACTCATTCTCTTCACTCTGTCCGACTCGGTCCCTGTCTCCAGCTGAACCGCCCGGACTTCAGCTGCTCCGCGCGAGGCGCGGGACCTGGACTCGTCATTCGGTCTCGCGCGAGGCGCGGGAATCCACGGACTCCACGTCCTCGGACGGGGCACAGCCGGGCATCCACGGAGCGCAACCGGTGCCCTGAGGGATTGAAGAGGCCTTGGAACTATATATACATCCAAATGTGGGTGAAAATCGAGAGATGTCGAGAGAACTGTCGAGAGATGTGGAGAGCTCCTCTGGGTCAGAGTGGATTCTTCCCATCTTATTGGAGCTGCTAGAATCCGCGTGCTTTAAGCCAGAAAAAGACTACGGAACCCGATGTGCCGAGGCTGACGGGAGAATGAAAGAACCTCTCTGGACCTGCTGCAAGGAATTGTGCTGGACAAAATTGCAATCTTGAGGTTTCAGGGTTTGGAGGATCACAAGGGTCACCCAAAACGAAGCCTTTTGATCATGCACTCCATGTTCAAAAGCAAACCGACACAAGAGGCATCTTCTCTGGAGGGTTGAACCTGGCAATTCCCGCGGTTTAACTTTGAGCGTCCCTCTAAAAATCGTAGCGGCCATTTCCCACTATCTGCCACTTGAGGGTCGACTGCATCCAGGACATCCAAGGTATTTTCTTCTCTTGACCAATGAGTTCCCTTCAACACCCCAGTATGACAGTATGAACTTGTTTTGTGATGTTTTGTGATGGTTGGAAGATCCGTCATGGCGGAGATCTGTCCTACAAGGGCTCGATAAAACCAGTTGACTTTACGAGGTGGCCAAAGGATAGGACAGAAGCCACTCATGTTCACACAGAACTAAACAGCATCTTAGGTCTGGCTCAAGTTGTATCTCGGAATATCAAGGTACGTGGCAAAGAAACTGTGCCAGTACAACTTCAAATGTCCCTAGACCGTTGATTTCATCCTGCTGAGCAGCTGTTGGGTCGGCTCAAGCTATGTCCAAGAGTCCAAGAGCCTTCATGCTATAATTACAGCTTATTATGCTACATATGCTGCAAGAGAAAAGCTATGAACACCCTCCCCTGGCCGAAACTGACGTCAGATACATCAGTCTGAGCCTCATCGAAGCTCTTTTGATCGAATTTGCGCGAGTGCTCAGCACCGTCGATCCCCGCCACCTCATCCTCCGGGTCGAAGCGGAGCCCCCGGCGCGGGTCGCGGCAATCGCGGCTGAAGGCGATGCCGGTGAGGTAGAAGAAGGGCGTCCTTGCGATCCGGGGAGCTCTGTGGAAGACATGTGCCAGCAGCTCACATGAGACGTGACGCCATAGGACCTCCAAATTGCGGATCGGGGCTTTAACCCAGGCTCTTCCAACACGTTGGACAAAGCAACGCTCTTTGATCCCTCATTGCTTTTATGGCTGAACCCGTTCATCACCCTACCCCCAGTCACCACGTCCAAGCAGCACTGCCAGGGCAGACCAAGCCAAAATGCAGAGTGCACATAACAGCTGGACACCCAACAAGTGAGGACCACCGCCCCGGAAGAGCCCGTTCTCCACGTCGATTCCTCGTTTCCCGTTTCCGGGACGAGCCAAAGATACCAAGGTCATCTGGTCACTGCATGTCTGGGAACATATACGTCGGGATTGCTTTTTCCACGGACCCCGAACAAGTAATTATGCAAAGAACATGCGATTCCAATATTGGAGGAGGAAGACTTAAAGGAATGGAAGAAAAGTTCGTAGCATTGATACGTTCTGTTTTTTTTGCCCTACCTTGCACCATAAAGCTTGGGACCAAGGCCGCGGAGGCCCCTTTTGGGAAGACTGTTGGAAGTGCGCCCACTAGCCAGGTTCGTACTGTCCCTTGACCACTTTGCCTTGAAAAGGCAAAGGTCACACATTCTGTGTTACATCATGTCACATCCCGTCTACAACTCACCTGCCATCCATTGAAGCAATCACGGTCAATCCACCAGTGGATCAAAGGAGTCTACTGCAAGAACCCCTTGCCCTGTTGCATGTCTTTGTTTTGCTGTCCATAGTGATTAGCACATACACCATGTCATGATGTTTCCATGTCATCGCCGTAGTTCATGGGTCTGTTTGGCGGAAGCGGCCATATTATGTGACCATAGAGTTTGTAACAGTGTGTGCCCCCAAAGGTCACCAAATGTCACCAGCACTCACCACCCCACCCCACCTCGCGCTCGCTCTCGCTCTCGCTCTCTCTCTCTCTCTTTCTCTCTCTCTCTCTCTTTCTTTTTCTCTAGCTCCACTTCTTCCAACCCCCACCCCCAACCCGCCTGGCAGCTCACCATCTGCGAAGAGGCCGACCGCCAGGAGGCCCCAAACGGCGGAGGCGCCGTGGACGCCCACGGCGCCCACCGGGTCGTCGATGTGGAGCTTCAACAGCCTCGCGACCGAAGAAGGAGACACGGAGCTGGAGAGAGCCAGTGTTGAGAGCCTTCTCTTTGGAGCGACCATACCGTTCATACATGTTGATTTTATTAGAATGATTATGATCTAATTATTTCTCAATGCTCAACAGCAACCGAATCCAGGGGATGCAAGTTTTCTTTACATCATCAGCAGGGTGTTTGGACTGGTGTTTGGTAATTATCTTGTTTTTGCGGCCTAGGCATGTCGCTTCTTCATTTTTCAATGTTGTGACAAAGCATGCAATTGGCAAGCATCTTCGCCGCTGGAGCTTTGCACTTGTATAGATGTGGAGGGGGATCCACAGGTATCATCACCAGAACCCATGTTCGTCTTCTGCATTCTTGAGCCAAGCTTTAATAAGTGGTTTCCACACGTTTGAATGGGTGGGTCCCGGACACCAGGCGTGTTTCCAGCGGCTTCAAGCCAAGGAAGGACATTTCAGTTCAGGTTGGGGCGAAACCCATCCAAACCCATACAGTAATAGCTTGAGTTGCGCCTGGGAAATCTTGAAGTCTAGACAATCACTTGAAATTGGATGCTGGTTTTAAGTGCTTTGATAGACCATTGCAAATCCATGTGGACAAATCACTTCGGCATAACATAGAGGCAATGCTCCACATATACCCGCATCAACGAAAGGTGACACATGAAATTATCACTTCTCCAACCAGGTCATACGTGACAGATTGACAGATTCTGGAGCCATGCCCCATCTGCACAGTTTTTTCCAAATCGATTCATAATGTCATAATGTTTCCTTGGCAGATTTGTTGCCTTGCCATAAACATTGGTTCTAAGATATATGCATTCATAAGGGTCATGGTGTGTTCAAGGCGCGGGGAAGCCAGACAAATGGCAAAGATCTTACTGTTGATGGTCAAAGTTTCAGCACTCCGATAGATAACCTGCTGTGCACAACAAAGCAAACAGGATTCCCTTTGTCTCTGTCACTTGTTTAAACATCATTCATGAAGACACTGGTTGGCTGGGCTTTGTCAGTCCCTTCAACTTCAGTACACAAACCAAACACCTTTACGCTACGAACGGAGCTCCTGGCATCGCTACGAGTCTGGAGCGGTCGGACGCCAAGCCGAACGGCGCTGCGCTGAGAGGCCAGTCATTGGCCGCCAGCGCTGTGATGGATCCCACAAAGCCAATCAGCAAGGCGTCGTGTGGATGAACACATGCACAGGTGGCAGTGATGGAGACAAGCGCTCCTTGGAATCGGAAGACTGGACTGGAGAGACACTTTGCTGTAATTAGAGGCCCAAACACCTTCTTTCTGCTCTCTACCTCGTTTTTTTCATGTTTGTTTTGGTATAGGGTTGATGTATTAGCTTTGTTGTTATTCTCAGATCTTCTAATTCTTTTTGTGTCGTTTTGTGCGGGCAGCGGCAGGCCATGGGTTTGGGGTGTTTCTCAAAATGCCTTCGGAACGCTTCAAACGGTTTCGTTTCGTTGACAAATCTTCGGGTTGGCGGGTCAACAACACAGGCATGAATAGTTCGGAGCAACAATCATACTCCAACACATCACCATTCTTGCGAATACCCAGCGTTCCAACGCTGAAATTCAATAATAATACCCAAACATACTCAAAGATAGATTCGATGCTTCCACAACAGAAAATCCAGCAACCCAGTTGATGAATTCCATACAAACCATCCAAAGGTTCCCAGTAGTCCATTGGCCACTTCGTGTGGAAGAACCAGCTTTCCCTTGGACTTCCCCTTGGTGTAGAGCAGCGCTGCTAGGCCACCCCCTGCAGTGGAGTTGATGGTGGCCACCCCTGCGCGAGTGGCCACAAGCCACTTGCTCTTGGTGATGCCAAAGGAGCTGCCGCAGTTGAAGCCAATCCAGCCCCACCACAACCTCACTTCGCTCACAAACACTGTTTCGGTTTGGGACAGATGCGTGACATATTATGTGGTCACGTGGAAGAGCCTGGAACGAGCAAAATTGTGCGTGCACCAGACCGACGAAACAACTGGTCCAAGAGTCCAATGTCTTCCAAAAGTGCGGAGTCCAAAGTCCTTTGTCTCTTTTGAGTAAGATGTTTGTCTCCACTATGTTGAAGGACCAACGTTGTCGGGGTCAAATCTTCTCGTAAAAACAGTGCTATCATACAACCGACACAAACGAACACAAAAATGACACGACCATCTGGTCTGAGAATGACACACGGTGGTCAACAAATGAACTAAAACCCTAAGCTTCACGTATCGCTGGCCAAACACACAAAAATCAGCCGAATTGGTGCCTGGACCGGTGTGTAGTGGACTGGTTGCCAGAAAAATCCGTGCGTCCCAAACCATAAACATAAGGGTGCAAGCTTTAGCAGCCACTCACGCAGAATAAATCTTCTCAACCTTGAACAATTGTTCCCTACAAAACCTTAGACACATGAAGATGTTCGCTACAGTACATGCGGATCGTTGTGCATCCAGTACTCCCTTGATGGCATCCGGATGCCAAACAGAAAAAGAGACATCGCCCCGGTACACACACCGCCGTCTAAGGCACATGAAGAGCCCGAACAAGACCGTTGGAGGCGAGGAGGGTTCGAAGTCCGTGCGCGGCCGCTGGGCGTCGAAGCGGCCCAGGCGCGGGCCGATGAAGAGGATCCCCAAGAGACCTCGGCCGCTTGAGCCAGGCGGTTGGTGTGTGACGTCTGACCCTTCGATGTCAGTACGTACTGGAAGATGTTGTTTGCCAGAACAAACAAGGGTGCTAATCTAAAGAGTCTGTCGAAAGCAGTGCTTCTTGGGCGCCAGGGTACCATTTGACAACATGTCTGCACGTGGATACCCGTAAATTGGTTCTTGTGTGTGCGGGCTTACGAGTGCACCATATTCTTTTTAGAAGGTGTTGCATCCGGCAGTTTGTGTTATAGTTTGTATCCGTTTTTTTGCCAAAAGGTGTGTTTGCTATGGCTTGCGTGGCATGTCATGGTTTGTTTCTGTGTTTCTGGTTCTACCAAAAAGCTGGTGGAGGAATGCTAACATCCAAATATATCACTTGGGGATCAGTCGATGCTCCGGGCTCTCCTGTTTTTTCTACATAGAATATCTGGGGCCGCAAAATGCAGAAAGAATGTGTAAAAAAGGCAGCAGAGGAACAAGAAGCTACTAGGGGCTCCTGGCATCGCTACTAGTAACAAGAAGCTACTAGGAACAAGTGCCACGCTACTAGAAACAGGTGCCTTACTAGTAGTAACAAGAAGCTACGTTCGGGGCTCCTGGCATCGCTACGAACGGAGCTTTTCTTACGGCCAGAGGCACCATTCATCGCACCCAGAAGGCTGACTGCTCCACTTCCCGCGAAGTCGTGCACTCCAATGGCTCGCAGCCAGCCATTCTCCTCCCAGATCCAATGCGCCACGAAGGAATAGACGATGACTGCGTAGAAGGAGAAGATGCAGTACACTATGAGACGACAACGCATGGCCAAACAGCCACTGACAATGGTTGTAGAGGTGGCTGCAAAACCTCTGGTTGCGTAGTTGGAAAAAGGCAAAATGCTTCTCATAACAGGCGAGTTTGCATCGTATTCTCTTTGGGAAGAAAAGGAAAAGTGTAGGCTCCTGGGCCTCCAAGGGACTGAATTGAAAAATGTATTTGCTGTGGACCAGCCCAGAACCTATGCGATCTTCGTCGCTGGTGTCAATGAAATAGTCGCCGGTGCCCATGAACGGATTGGAGGGCGACCCATATGAAATGCCATATCCAACACAATAGTAAGCCAGAGCTCCACAAACCACATCGAAAATGTTCTTCAGCACAATGTTTACCTCATGTCCTTTCGATGAACTTCCCATCTCCAGCATGCCGAAGCCACTCTGCATGGTGAGTATCACGAAGCTGCTTGTCAAAACCCAGGTCGCGTCATCAGCATGATCGCCGTTCAACGCATCGAGGTCTGCCATGGCAAACACGATGTCGACGCCAATGGCTCACAGCATTAGGTGAATTCTGGTCTTTCAGAATCTTTCAGAGCAGCCGTGTAGAGGGGTCTGTGGAATTAATTACATCAACCTGTTTGTTGCTTTTAGCAGAGGTCATCTGTACACATCACCCGAACAGCGAACTCCTGAAAGCTCTTATGGTGCTTCAGAGTTCATTTGTAGAAGATGACTATAAACTTAAACATGTATGGGGCTCCCTATGCTGCCGTGAAAAGCAGGAAGCATGATCCAAAACGTTGGTTATCTAAAATTAAATGTGATCTAAATTCTGGCTTCTGGGCACAGCTAAGCAGCCAAACTGCCGCGAAGACAAGAGTTCCCGAACCACACAGCTAACAAAATGGGTGGGAACAGGTGGAGTAGTGATGATAGTGAAGGCCTCCGCATCATGTCTATTCTCTGACGTATGTCTAGCTGGCGCGGTGACTCCTTTTGAGGAACACGAGGACATATATATATATATATATATATGTTTTTTTTCCCTGATTGAGATTTTGCCGTTCGACTGGCTCCGGACATTTCTTTGTAGGTGCCAAGCCACCTCCCAACTTCTGCAGATCTCAAACAACATAAAGAGACACACATACAACACACACACACACAACATGACACAAAACCAACCGGCAAACATGTTGTGTGCGGCAACTGGTTGTCTTCAAAATTCCACGAGCTTCTTCATTACGCGGCTGGCTCTATCCCTGTTGTTGTCCATTCCCAGTGTTATCCTGATTGCAAGTTGCTCTTGGCACCTTCCCCGCAAATCTAGTAGGTACCGCGCTTGTGGTTTGTTGCCTGTGATCATCATGTCACGCACTACTCCTCTTTCAATTTGCTTTCCCTTTCCGTCTTTCCCTTTACAGTCAACACGGACCCCAGAAATGGCACTGCCTAAGGATCGCACACCCAGAAGAAGCCGGGGCCGACGCAACTGCAATGCCTCGCCCAAAGCAAGCAAAGCAAGCTGGTGTCTACATCCGTACACTCACTTTAGCAAGACTGGCTGTCAAGCAGGACTTCACTCAGTCGAACTATGGGAACAATAATCGGTTTGTCAGGCCAGACCTTCTTGGTTTGTGCGCCACCAGTGGACTCAAAGAACGTGCCACACGTAGAACTTTCTTCATGAACCGCAACAGAAAAAGCAGCCCTTCTGGCATATTCTGGCTTACATAGGGCTACTTAAAGCCTTTCTATACACCGACGCATGGTTCAACAACGTCAGGCCTTCTTGAGGTTGATTATTGTTTGGGATGTGTTGCAGCCCTTTCAGGACTGCAAAGGCGCTGCTGCAAGGTGCTAGGATAATTTACGACAAACAGAACTGCCTGTGGCTCCAAAATCAAAAAATGGTAGGCCAATTTATTGGCATGACTTTTCCTTTCGAGCCTCATGATGATGCACCACTGTTTTGGATCCCCGTTCCTTTGCAACGCTACAAGAACATTCCGATGCCGATTTTCGATCGATCCGAGAAGCTGCGGAATCACCAGGTGACTCGTGATGAGTCATGATGACTCGTGGCACACTTTCCTCCAAGGATATCCTGCCTTCTCGCAGCACACAGGGTAGCGAGTAAAATCTCAAGCAGCAACAGGAACCCATCAAACTCCAACGATCAAACACTTCCTCTCTGAAGTGTGACATGACGCTTTAGTAGCACACTTTTCAGCGGGAATGCTTTGGACAGTGGTCAAGTGGAGAGGTGCGGAGGCGAAGTGGCCAGAAGAGTCGCCGGAATTCCAACAGAAGTTCCTCTGTCACTGGTTCATCTGCCCGCAAAGTCTTGCTCGTGTTAGAAGTCACAAGTCACACATGTCCTTTGATTCATCAGCAGTTACCAGTCTGTTTCACTCACGCTGTGTATGCAATGTATTTCTGTCGGATTCCTGCATGTTCTTCACTCAGGCACAGCCGAGGCAAGCCCAGGCACAGCCACCAAACATGTATCACATTTAGCAAGTGGTTAGCAAAGATGATCTGTTTGGGGATGTTTGGGGTCTATAGGCAGACGCCTCAAGGTCTTTTTCTTTGGTTGCTTCTGAAGGCCATGAATGAAGCATCTCAATAAACCGGCCTTTCCATATCGGATTGAGACCCTTCAGATATAAACAGAGTTCTATTGTTGGTGAAAAAGGACTCTTAGCGCAGAAGCCACATCATGCTACCTCACATGGCGCTGAGGCGGGTCACTGGAATTCCGGCCATTCCACCTCCGCAGCGCCCCAGATTCAAGGGCAAAACTGTACACTGTACACGATGCTCCAGTGATGTGGCGAACGTGTCAACCTCCATGTTGGAGTGCATAAAGGTGTCCGCGGAAGGTGTCGGTGGACCTACATATCTCTGCGTACCTCTGTCATTTCCGACAACCACAAGAAAGACAAAGAGAAAAAGGGGGCCCTTTCTGCCTCCAACACATATCGGCAGGGTGAGGACACTTTTGAGCGGTCTTCAAGCCCATGACCGTCAGTGCCAAATGAACCATTGATGAAGCACAACACATCTACAACGTGTCACACGCATCTGGAGCATTCCTGGGGATTTCAACATCCAGAAAGTCATGCCAACTGCCACAAACTCCTTGTTCGGTGGCCTCTGCAGCCTTTGCTTCGCGAAGGCACTCTGGTCCTCCTCGCGTGGCAGCGGTGTTCACCCCGCGCGTGCGCTGGCACGCGCGGTGGGACGGTCGCACGGAGCCTCCTACGGACGTCTGCCGTGGGCCGTGCGCCATGACGGCTTGGAAGCCAACACGACCTCCAAGTCGGAGCGGGTCGCCAGTGCGCCATGACGTGGTTTCCCAAGCGAAAACAGAAGAGATGAGGACGAAGATCAGCTAGTTGTAACGGCATCGCTATTAGGAACAACTGAACAGCTGCATTACTACTAGTAGCAAGAAGCTAGTAGTTGCCTGTCTCATGGACTTTCAACAAATCCCAACACTGGTGGGTAAACATAGTATGAGATTGTGCGGCAATATAGCAAAGGCTCACAGCCCAACTCACATGACTCTAGGTGACTGCCCTCTTAAAGGGGACGGGTGATCACGATTAGGTGGGAGGTTCGCCTTCAACTTGAGCTGTTTTGTTTCAACGAGAAGAACCTATGTACAACCCGTAAGGACTCTAGGCTCAAATACCAAGTGGTGGTTAGGGACTTTCCAAAAACCGTCTTGGGGATTTGAGCCAAGAGTTCTGAGAGTAGTATATAGTATATAGTAACTAGGGAGAGATGTGCAGAGGTGCTAGGAATGGCCTCCAGAATAAAAGGGATGGCCTCCAACCTAATAGCGATGGCCTCCAACCTGGTAGCGATGGCCTCCAGCCTAGTAGCTTCTTGCTACTAGTTGTTGAAATCCATCTTACTGCATAATATAAATTTGAGGGCTTCTTCAGACCTCTTTGTGGAGGCAAGACCTGTGCTTCAGCCGTCTACTTACAAGTCAGACGTCCAGAAAACATGTGGCTATTTCAAACAGGATCAAACAGGTTCAATTACACTTGAGGGGTGATTTCCCAGTCTCAAAGGGTTCAATAAACCAAACGAAACTACTTGTTGGAATCATTGCACTGCGCACTTGGTGACTTGTTCGAAATAAGCGGAAGATCAGCCGCGCGATTGGAAAATATCGACATCAGTCCATGCAGCGAATCAACTGGCTGATCAGGAAGCGAGCTCAGCTCAAAGTCTGGTACCAAAAGGAGCAAATGACACAGGCAAAGCCTCTTCGTATACTCATGTGAAACATCCCACAAGTGGGATCACAAATGGAACCTGCATAGGAGCAGTAGCAGTCTCATGGAAAGCAGTTTTGACATAGATTAAACAAGTGAATCTCTTCAAACATCGGATGGTTTTGCCTTCAGAGCGCTTGATGGGGATTGCTTGTGAGTTGAATATCACCATTCCCCAAAGCAGCATTTCAGACCTCGGTGGTCGAACACCAAGACCTTACCAAGCTGTTTGATGATTGCTGAAGGTCCAGGTGAACTGAGGGAATGGAGTGAACCGATGATTGCCGTGCCAAATGAACCATGATGAACCATGATTCCTTGTCTTGTGTGATCAAAACAACATGGCTGGCTGGTTATCCCTCCAGCTGCTTCGGGCTTTACTCTCCAGCAAACCAAACGCAAAAACTAGCTGGTTTCTTGACCCGTGAAGATCAACAAATGCGGCTCTCAAAACTTGGCGCCCCAACACCATGTATCTTGGCATTCCAGGTAGGTCAACCAAGGTCTCCGGGTCTTGACCCACAGCCAAGTCATTGATGCTAGGGGCTCCTGGCATCGCCACTAGGAGCAAGGACGCTACTAGGGGCTCCTGGCCGTACTACTAGGAACAAGAAGCTATTAGGAACAAGAAGCGTAAGTCACGTTGGTAGGTCAAGCAAGGTCTCCTGGTTTTGACCCACAGCCAACTGCTTGTTTCCAATAGCAAACATTGTTACTACTAGTAAGGCACTTGCTCCTAGTAGCGATGCACTT